AGCAGGTGCCATGTATCACAGGTTCCAGACATTATATTTGTTTACTCTGGTTAGAAGAGTATATACTGAGCAACATCATTATTTGACTGACTGTGCTATAACACATGATCATTTTCCAAGATCCTTGTAACTTCCTCACTGGCAACAAAGGAGATTTAAATGAGATGTATTAACAATCTCTATTCTTTTGTCTTTCTAGATATTTATAAATAAATTAAATCCATGTCATTGAGTCAATTTCACCTCATAGTGACAGTGTAGAAGAGAGTAGAACTTCCCCATAAGGTTACTGAGGCTATAAATCTTTACAGAAGCAGACTGCCTCATCCTTCCACAATGGAGCAACTCATGGATTTGAATTGCTGATCTTTCAGTTAGCAGCTAAATGTTTCAACTGCTATATCACCACAGCTTCTTATAGGGGACCCAACTCACAAATTCCCCTAGGAATGTGGTATTCCTTTGTTGAATAACTTGAAGAGGGAACATTCCTAGGGCTTCCTTGCATCTGGCCTTTCATACCAATATAATCTTTGTTCCAGGAATCAGGAAACCAATATGGGGACTATAATGTTACTAAATATATCTCTTCTTAATTCCATTCTGGATCATAGAAAATTACCCCAAGTGAGTCCATAGTACCATAAGATCCATATGAGTTCAATTCAGGCCTAACTCTGCATTTCACATACATTAGACCTCCTACTCTGACTATTAGATCACAGCGGCAGTTAGGATTTTAGGATTATGATATAAGTATTTTCCTTTCCTTAGTGCACAATAACTCTGGTAAATGGCAGCATGTCCTGCTGTGGGAGGCTTAGAGGAAAATTGTCAATATATGCCTACAGCTGTGTGGCAGGGTCTTCTCTGTAAATGACCAGCATTCCCCTCAATCTTAGATTTTCAATTATGTGAGCTTAGGTCTAAGACTATGATCAACTAACCATAACCACAGATGTATGAGTAAAAATAGTGATTATATCATGGAACATATGCATCCCCCCCCCCCCCATATCCACAAGTATGAAGTAACCATAATAGTGACATGTAGCTTGGAAAGCTCCAAGAGAAAAATTCTCTTTGGAGACCAGTACAAATGGAAAGGTCAAAGCCAAGTGAGCAGAACAAAAAACTAGGTATCTCTAGAGGAATTGTATCTCAAATTTCTAGCACAGTAAGGGTAACCATTGTAACAACAAAGTTCAAACCCAGACCAACTCCTAACTAAACTCAAATTCACTGCCATCTGTTCAATTCCAACTCATAGTGACCCCCATTGGGTTTCTAAGGCTATAGATCTTTATGTAAATAGATCACCCAAACTTTCTTCTGTGGAGTGGCTGATGGGTTTGAATCACTGAGCTTCTGATTAGCAGCCAAATGCCTTATCTACTATGCCACCAGAACTCCTTAAAACTAGATTAATGTTAAACCTTAAAGCAATGGCCTAGAAGTAAATACATGTTCATTTCCAAGTATGAAATGATCTATCAATCTATTCATCTATTGAAACCCCCCACATTTGAAAAAATAAATTATAATGATAAATTATTGCTTTGTCTCTTCAGACTGTCAAAAATAAAGAAATAAATACAGAAAATGAAAAAATAAATAAAGAGCCAAATCAGAATTAATCCAGATATGACACAGGTATCAGAGGATTGAAATAATTGTGATTTTTATGTGAACAAGGTAAAGAACATGTAAGATCCAATAGGTCTTCATTAGAGAGAAGGAAATTATGAGAACAAATAAAAAACACAAATACCAAAATGAAGAATGCATTGAATAGGCTTATCACTGTACTTAACACTGCTGAACAAAAGATCAGTGAACTTAAATATAAGACACTAAAAATTAATTAAAACAAAGACAGAAAACAAAGAGAGGGTAAATTAACAAAAAAGAAAAATAAAAATAGTGCAAGTCAAACAAGCAAACACTCAAATCAGAACAGAGAATTCAAAAGGTAAGAAATAATCTATGAATAATAATCCCATGAGGAGAAGAAAGAGGGATTGGGACATAATGGTTGGGAAAAAAAAAGGCTGAGGATTTTCTGAAATTAGAATTATCAAATTACTGGAAAAAAAAACTTCCATCCATCTACATCCAAAGCACACAAACACACACACAATTAAAAAAATCTCATCAGAAACTATACTAGAAAAGAAACAATGGGATAACATTTTTAAAGTGCTAAAAGGAAAAATACTGGTAACCCACAGTGATATACCAAGGATACTATCTTGAAGAAATAGGAAATTAACTAATGCAATTTACCATGTTAATAATGTATAAAAACCATATTATTATCTCTATAAACAAAGGTAAGTATTTGAAAATATCTATCACTTTTTTTTTTTATGATAAAAACACTCAGAAAGCTGGTAATAGAAGGAAAATTCCTCAGCCTGATAAAGATGATAGATGAAACCCCACATTTAATGGTGACACATTTAAACTATTCCTCACAGATCAGAAACAAATTACCGTTATCATTTCTGTGCAACATTATGTTGCTGTTTTAGACTGGGTTCTCCAGAGAAACAAAAGCAGTAAAGCTTATATATATATGTATATATGTTGTTGTTGTTGTTGTTATGTGCCATCGAGTTGGACCCGACTCATAGCGACCCCTCCTTGGGTTTCCGAGGCAGTATCACTACAGAAGTAGATTGCCCCATCTTCCTTCCAAGGAGTTCAAATCCACCAGCCTTCTGGTTAGCAGTCAAGTGCCTTAGCCACTATGCTACCAGAGCTCCCATATGTATATATAGATAAATTTATCTTAGAAAAATGGCTCACACACTTATAGAAGCTGGCAGGTCCAAAGTTCCTGGATCACATATCAAGCTGGAGAATTTTCTGGACTCTTGCAGCTCAAGGCTGGAAGGCAGTACACCGGCTGTTGACTCCAACGAATGGCAAGTCCAAGATCTCTAATCCAAAAGGTGGATTGTTCACTCATGGACAGTTGTAGACAGCACAACAGAATCCAGATTCACAGAAGAATGTCTCCTTTCTCAGGATGTCCATAGATGTACTGGAAGCAGGCCACACCCCTAGGGAAACTTCCTTTCAACAGATTGGCTGCTCAAAACATAATCATCTGATCCCATCATGGGAATACCCACATCACAACAGCTCAAACCACACAGAATTTTGGTCCAGCCAAGTTGACACATAGTGCCAACTATCACAGTCCAGTTGTACACATCTTTTTAACCACATGTAATCTCTAAATAAGGACAATTATAAAGTCATATTTGTCATATTTATACCTAACATGATATGCTAACACACGTAAAACCAAAACACATTAACCTTATTTACATTTCACATTTCATAACAGAAGGAAACAAAAATATTTGATGCACATATACAATGAAGAAATATAGCAATCACAGTCCTCGTTTCTTCAGCTGGTCACATGGTCGTAGCTGATATTCAGAACTACCTTCTTCCACCACCCATTCTGTATTTCCCTTGCCCTCAGCAAGCACCTCAGCTGGTCTTGGTTCTTTGCCTCATGGGGTGACCCAAACCTTCATTCCTGAAGGGTCTGGGCCATTAGCAGTCACATCAGAATTGAGTTGCTGTAATTTTCCATTGACTTTAATCACAGGGCATGGTAGTACTAAGAGATTTCCTAAAGAATCTCCTGTATTCCAGACATATTCTTTACCTCCATTATGTAAAGCCAATCTAATTTCCCCTTGTTAATCAGGATCTATCACACTAGATTGTACAGTAATGGCCTTCTTTGTCTGTTGATCCAGAGGCATGAGGAAGCCAAAATGGCCAAGTGGCATTCTTAATTTCCAGTTCAATGCAATCAGTATTGTGTCTCTAGGTGGGAGTGTTCCTCCCTTTGGGACTAAGATCTCCAGACCAGCAGAACATATGGTAGCAGGGATAGGAAGCAAAAATTTTTTGCATGGGTCACTAGTCATAATAGTGAGTGGTACCACTCCTGCTTCCACCCCTTGCTTCCTGGACTCATGAATCTTGGCTATTGGAGAAACAGAACCATATATTGGTTGCTGGTTTAGAGCATATACAGCCTCCTGGAGAACACTGATATACTGGAAGCAGGCCACACCCCTAGGGAAACTCCCTTTCGATAGATTGGCTGCTCAAAACATAATCATCTGATCCCATCATGGGAATAACCACATCACAACAGATTAAGCTAACACTGGGTTGGGCCCGACTGCAACAGGGGGTGTCCAGTATTCAATTTTTAGTCTAATATTGAAAATGACTCCATTGTCATACCCTGTTTGGTACAATCGAAGCCCCCAGGATCAGCCTTTCACCCAGGTTTTATACTGTTTTCCCTGCTCTGTGAATCACATTCTGATAAGATTACAGGTGAAATTCACACACAGGCCCTTTCCTATATAAATGCTTCTGCTGGCTGGGAATCTCCGCATGAGTCTGGATGATTGGCAAGAACTGATGGTTAATCCATCACCGAAATGATTCCTGTCTACTATGATGAGATTCCAAGTTGAAGAAGGTTTCCAGTAAGTGGTTCCCATCATTTCACATCCCCATGCTTTACAATAAAAGTCTGGTGCCCCCCCCCACACACACACACTGGTTTGCTAAAGCTCTGTCTTTTCTTCCCCCTGAGAAAAAGTAAAATGGTAACTTATGGAGTTGGTGGCAGAGTTCAGGGTGCCCACAACCTATTCCCCCGATTCCTCTAGAAGCACATAACCACTGGCATGTGGGCTTGCCTGAACATTCAGGAGTACCGTTTTTGTTGGGTTCCCAATCTAAGATGTCCCAGGATCCAGCCACTAATTGGCATAAATCAAAGTGTAGGTCAGGCCATCAGGTATTAGGGGGATGGTTGCCCATGATAGAGCTGACAACGTCCCCGGTGGTTGACGTAATTATCCATGTTAACTGTTGGGGTGTGTGAGGGTTAGATGAGGGATTTACATAGTTACCAGTTATTAACAGTAATACTAGTAAGGTCCACATCACTGAAGTTTTAGTTTGAGCGGATTGTTGGGGTCCTTGGAGATGTGCCATGGTGAGTCCTGGTCAGGGACAGGATCGGCTTTGTGGACGTGAGTATGATGAATCCAGGAGGTTATTCTGTCAACTTTGAGGGTGGTGGGTGTGGTCAGGATCACGATGTAGGGTCCTTTCCAGCGAGGTTGTAGAGTCTCTTGTCGATGTCTCCGCACATACACCCAATCACCTGGCTGGTACTGGTGAGGTTCGGGAAGAGGACTAGTTTGGTAGAGGGCCCTTAAGATTGGCCAGATGTCTTGCTGGGTTTGTTGCAGGTCTTGAAGAGAATAAATGAACTCATAATTATCAATTTCATGTAACAAATCGGACTGCAATATGGGAGTAATAGGTGGAGGTCTACCAAAGACAATCTCAAAAGGTGTTAATCCTAATTTATAAGAAGAGTTACGGACTTGAAATAGGACGAAGGGGAGGAGAGTCACCCAGTCTCCGTCAGTCTCTATGGTTAATTTGGTTAAGATCTCTTTTAGAGTTCTGTTCATTCTTCCTACCTGGCCTGAACTTTGGGGTCTGTAAGTACAATGTAATTTCTAATTAGCCCCAACAATAGTTGCTAAACCCTGTATTACCTTAGACACAAATGCTGGTCCATTATCTGACCCTATTGTAGTAGGAAAACCATACCTGAGTAGGATGTCTTCTAGTAGTTTCTTGGCTACAACATGGGCTGTTTCTCTCTTGGCTTACACCCACCCTGAAAAGGTATCTATAAGGCCTAACAAATATTTATATCTGTATTCCCCTGGTTTTACCTCCGTGTAGTCCACTTCCCAGCAAGTCCCTGGTGTGCTGCCTCTTGATCTGGAGCCTAGATTTGGAGGGTTTTTAGTAACATTGGTTAATTGACAGGCTTTACAGTCAGAAACAATTATTTCAATTTTAGATTGAGCATTTTTAATTATTACATTGGCCCGTTTTAGTAATTCCTGCATCTTTTTGGTTCCTAAATGGGTGGTCTGATGTATTTTGAAAAAAATTTCTTCTCCCAGTTTTTCGGGAAGGATGGCTTTGTGATCTGCTGATTTCCACCAATTGCATACGTACTGAGTTCTGGGTAGTTGTTTAATCCATTTCAAATCTTCTTCAGTGTAGTTGGGGTTCGTTGGTAAGGCTGGGCTCCCAGGATCAGGTAGGTTGGAGGTTAATACCAGGTTGGTAGACAGTGCAATTTCTCGGGCAGTTTGTTCTGCCAAATTGTTGCCTTGGGCACTGGGGAGGTGGTCTTCTGGTGTCCCAGACAATGAATGATGGCAAGTTTCTTTGGGAGCCTTAAGGTAGCTAGTAGATTTAGGATCTCATTTTTATTTTTAATTGTCTTCCCTTCCACGGTTAGTAGCCCCCTTTCCTGATAAATTTCCCCATGAATATGTGCCATGGCAAAAGCATAACTACTGTCTGTATAAATATTTAACTTTTTGTCTTTTCCCAAAGTTAAGGCTTTGGTCAATACTATGAGTTCAGCTCGTTGAGCCGATGTTCCAGCCGGTAATGGTTTAGCCCAAACTATTGCAGTTTCTGTCACCACTGCCACCCCCACATACCTTTGCACATCATGCACAAAGCTGCTCCCATCTGTATACCAGGTAACCTCGGCATCCGGTAAAGGTGTGTCTTGTAGGTCAGCTCGGGTTCCATGCGCCTGAGCCAGAATGTCGACACAATCATGGAGCAGAGCACCTAAATCCAGATCCGGTAACAGGGTGGCAAGGTTCAGTGCCATAGGTGACTGGAAGATAATCTTAGTTAGGTTCAGTAACAGTCCTTGGTAGTGGGTGAGCTGTGCATTGCTAAGCCATTGATCAGGAGGTTGCTTAAGAGTTCCTTCTATGGCATGTGGGGTGGTAACATATAGTTCCTGTCCCAGTGTAAGTTTCCCCGCATCTTTGACTAGCACGGCTGTTGCTGCTATTATGCATAAGCACGGGGGCCACCCCGCCGCCACTGGGTCTAATTTTTTTGAGAAATAGGCTACCGGTCTTTTCCAGGGGCCCAGGTGTTATATTATAACTCCTTTCGCTACCCCCTTATTTTCATCAATGTATAGATGGAAGGGTTTTGTTACGTCAGGTAGTCCAAGGGCAGGAGCAGACAAAAGGGCAGTCTTAATTGAATTAAAGGATTTTTCCATGGCTTCTGTCTACTGAAATTTCTGCCCCTCCTTGGTTGCTTCATAGAGAGGCTTCGCCAGTTCTGCAAAACCTGGTATCCAGAGTCTACAGTAGCCGGCTGATCCTAGGAACTCCCGCACCCCACGTGGGGTGTTGGGTCTAGGGATTTTTAGTTCAGTCTCCTTGTGGGCCCTGGTCACCCACCTTTGTCCTTCTTTTAGCATATACCCCAAATAGCTCACCTCGGGTTGGCAAAGTTGAGCCTTTTTGGCTGAGGCTCTGTAGCCCATGTCTCCTAATGTTCGGAGTAAGTCTCTGGTTCCTTGGAGACAGGTCTCATAGTCTGCTGCAACAACTAGGAGATCATCTACATATTGTAATAGCATGAGACCGGGGTGGTCGGATCGGAACTTACCCAGGTCGTCATGCAGAGCCTCGTCGAAGATTGTAGGCGAATTTTTGAACCCTTGAGATAATCTCGTTCAGGTTAGTTGTCCATTATTGCCTTCCATGGGGTCTGTCCATTCAAAGGCAAACAAGTCCTGGCTCTTTGGGGCCAACGGTAAGCTAGAAAAAGCATCTTTTAGGTCCAAGACTGAGTACCACTGGTGATCTGGGGGTAAAGAACTAAGGAGGGTGTATGGGTTAGGAACAGTAGAATGAATGTCTATGATCCGTTTATTGACTTCTCGGAGGTCTTGTACCTGTCTATAATCATTGGAATGAGGTTTTCGAACAGGGAGTAGAGGGGTGCTCCAAGAAGACTGACAGAGTCAGAGTATTCCTAATTTTAACAGGCGCTGGATGTGGGGGGTTATGCCTTCCCAGGCTTCTCATGACATAGGGTACTGACGGACTCTGACCAGGTCTGCTCCAGGTTTAATTTCCACATAAACTGGTGGCCTATGTTTTGCTAACCCTACACCTCCAGTTTCAGCCCATGCCTTAGCAAAAGCTAATAACCACTGTTTTATATCTTCAGACAGCGGAGGAGGGGGTTGCTGGTGGAGTCTATACTCATCTTCTAGGTTTACAGTGAACACCTGAATAGGTTGGCCCTAACTGTCCATAATGGTCGCCCCTCCTTTTTGAAAGTGGATTTGTGCTTCTATTTTGGTTAGTATATCTCTCCCAAGAAGTGTATAGGGGCATTCTGGAATTACCATGAATGAGTGGGATACCCGACCCATGCCGAGATCCACTGTTCTTTGGGTAGTCCATGAATATTGATTTGTTCCTGTAGCCCCGTGAACCAAGGAGGTTTTATTAGACAGTTTTCCTTGGGGTTTAAGTAAGACTAAATGTTGTGCCCCGGTGTCCACCAGGGAATCAATTGGAGTCCCCTCCACTTTAAGGGTTACCCTGGGTTCGGGGAGGGGAACCGAACCCCATCGCCCCTAATCACTGAGTTCCCCCAATTCTAGTACTTTAGTCTGTGGTTTATGAGTTCTTTTATTTGGGCACTCTTTTGCCCAATGTCATTTTCTTTGCAATAGGCACACTGATTCTTGCCCAGTTTAGGGCGTTCTCCCCTGGGGAAGTCCCCCTTACCTCGGTATTTTGTCATTTTCTGCAGTTGTTGTTCTCTTTCTCAGATGCTCCCAGTTGTTGAGGCAAGTAAGATTTTTGCAAGGTTCCGAGTGTTCTAGTCACTGGCTGCTGCTAGTGCCTTGGCCTGTCGGTCTTCTGGACTGTCCCTGTGATTATAAACCCTTTCTGCAACTAACATTAAATCCTGAATACTTTTTTCATTTAGTCTGTCAATTTTTTGTAATTTTCTCCTAATGTCTGAGGCTGCTTGATTCACAAAAGCCATGATTAGTGCAGCCTTAGTTTCAGGCACTTCTGGATTCATGGGGGTATATTGACAAAATGCTGCCATTAATCTTTCTAAGAAAGTGGCAGGACTTTCATCCCTCCCTTGCTATACGTCACCTACCCTAGCCAAATTAGTGGGTTTCCTTGTGGCTGCCCTGAGACATCCCATTAGAGTCTGACGGTACACCCGGAGTCTCTCCTTACCTTCAGCCATGTTGAAGTCCCAATTAGGATGAGTTAAGGGGAAGGTGGCATTAATCACATCTATATTAGTAGTGGGCTGCCCATTATCCCCCAAGGCAGATTTCTGGGCTTCCATCTGGATCCTCTCACGTTCCTCAGTGGTGAATAAAATCTGGAGGAACTGTTGACAATCGTCCTATGTAGGCTGATGAGTAAACAAAATAGTCTCTAGGAGGTCAGTTAAGTCTCTGGGATCATCTGAGAACTTAGCATTCTGAGTTTTCCAATTGTACAGGTCACTAGTGGCAAAGGGCCAATAGTGAAGTTGCTGGTTGCCAGTTGTGTCTGCAGGCTCTGCAGCACGCAACGGTGAGACTGTGGAATCTGCTGGTCCACTGGAGGGGGCTGTGCACTGCATTCTTCCACAGGTGCTGGCCGCCGGACCTGCTGCTGCCACCATTGCCCCACCATTGTCCGGCACTTGGGGAAGTGCACCCTCCGCAGCTGCAATACCTGCTGAAGGGGCTTGATAATGGGGGGGGGGAGGGGAGGAGTTCTTCTTCCATCCCACCCTGAAAGACTGGGTAGGTCAGTGCTGAAGGTTTAATTTCAGGTTCCTTCTTCCGGGCAGTATGAGTTTGTGTTGCTAGGACTGTCTTAGGTGCCTGCTTAGGAAGAGAAAGAGGTAACACAGGCTTTAACCAGGGGGGTGGATTTTCCACTAAATCCTGCCATATGATAATATATGATCTCTGGTCCGGGTGCCCCCAGCTGGACTGGAACACAACTTCTTTTACCTTTAAAATGATCTGAAGATCGAACGTACCCTGGGCTGGCCACCCTACGTTGAACGTAGGCCATTCTGAGCTACACAATGTTACAAGTTTTCCTTTTTTAATTTCTAAACTTAAGTTGTGTGCCCTCCTTCTAACTTTCTTGAAATTGTCAGTCAGGAGAGAAAGAGGAGTCATCACAATTTGTCCCATTTCGTCCGTCCACTGATTAAACAAAATTACAGACACTAACAAAAACCAAATAGACACACACAAAGACACACAAAATATGTCTCTCATAGATTGGAAGCAAAACTGAAAGTAGGATGACGACCTCACGCCATGCTGCGGGAGCGACCAGCTTCATCCCTTTACAGGTTCCAGATTGGAGGACAACTTTTACTTCCTCCCCAGGTTGAAGGGGTTTTTTAGTCCCCTTTCAGAAGAGGCCCTGGAATGTCTTCCAGGACCTCCAGCTGATGGCCCACCCATGCGTCCACTTAGGCCAAAGTTAGCTTTGCAGAACATGGGCCCCAGGTATTACACAAATAACTTAAACAAACAGCAAACATTTAAACACTTACCAGCCAGCTGCAACCCCCTGGGTTGGGAGTCCTGGGGTATCTGGGGATCCTGGACGAGCCCCCAAATGTTGCGCCCAGATCCTGAATCCCCAAAAACCACCAAGGAGCTGATTCCACTGCAAAAGCATAGGGGTTGTTTATTCAAGCTTGAGTTTGGACCCCCAACCATCACCGATGCAGCCGTTCAGGATTGAGAGCCCCAAACTCAGGGGTAATGGGGTTTTCATAGGGGGGTACAGCAGGAAGGAGGAAGTTTCAATCAGAAAATTACAGGATTGGTTGACATTTTCCAAGTTGCTAGTTGTTCCTACTTGATTGGCTCTGTCTGGTGGGCCGAAGCCACAAACTGTCGTTTCTAACTATTTTAGGTAAGGTATTTCTCTACCATTTACTGCTTGGTTGTTGCTAAGGAGAATGCTTGGGTATCGATGAGGTGGAGGTAGTCAGGACTCTTTGTGGTTTTTCCAGTAACTAAAGCACTAAAGCGTGAAGTAAATGCTAAGGCATATTGCAAAATGGCTACATACTTAAAATGGTTACATACAGGGTGGTTATATAGAGACATGGTCTCACATATCTAAGCCTAAAGGGTAACCCAGGGCCATAGTCTTGGGGGTTCCACCAGACTCTATCCAACCAGTAATTATGGTCATTTTTGTGTTTTTGAATTTTGTTCCATGTTTTTCCTCCCACTCTATACAAGATCTCCAGAGTTGATCCCTGTCTGAATGGATGGCACTGGTAGCCAGGCACCATCAAGTTCTTCTGGTCTCAGGGTAATGAAGGCTGAGGTTCTCATAGCTGATCTTATCCTTGGACTAATTGTTTCCAGATGCCTTTGATTTTCTCACTCTTTTTGATACAGATGAGAAGAGACCAATAGTTGCATCTTAGATGGCCACTCGAAAGCTTTTTAGGCCCCAGTTGCTACTCATTAAAGTAGGTTGTGGGACAAGATTTTTATGTACTCTGTTGTGCCAATTGAGGAAGATGTCCCCAAGACTATGATTCTAAGTCAGCAGGCCAGGTGATTCTCTCTCTCAAGGTGTCTGGTTGTCTCTGTGAGGTTACTCCAACTTTCCCTTCTGTTGCTTCTGTAATATGTGGGCTAATTTTGTAGCACAAGTGCATATGTCAAGTTGTCTTGAACCAAATATGTCCTTGGTCTAGAGTGTATCCTTCTTCATTGTCTGTGAACTGATCTTCTCACCTGTCTATGCATTTATCCGTAGCCTGGTGTTTGGTGTTAGTGATAAGACAGTATTGTGCATGTACTAGTATCTGCCTCTGTTATCTAGATCTTATGTGCACATTTCAGTGTCCTTCCTTTCCCCAATGTCATCATGCTGGTCAAAGACTTTTTCCATACCATCCCTCCTGTGGTAGTTAAATTTGTATGTCAACTTGTCTGGGCCTGGTTTAGTTGCTGGGCAGCTGGTGGTAGTTATTCCCCATGATGATACTGGCAATCAACTCCATGATGGTATCTACCACAAGCAGTTAACTAGCTGCTTTGGGATATGGTCTGCTTCCTGTATATAAGAAGAAGCCTTGGGAATAGCCTCGAGCTTATGGCACACGTGAACCCTGCATGTTGCTGTGTCATTGTTCAGCAGACTGCCAGGCTCTGCTGACTTTGAGACTTAAAATGGACTTGAATTAATGGTCTGCTATGTGGTTTGGTAATATCGGGACTGTGCCTTTTTACTTGTCAACCTTGGGCTTAGCAGCCTCAGCAGCCAGCAGCTGTCTGATTGAAGAAAAACTTCTAGCTTCAGTGTGCCAGGAGCTGGAGGCAGAGCTGAAGTCCGATGCTGAGGGCCTTTCACCCATCCCCTAGTGCCTGACACTTTGAACTCAGACTTCTACCCTCCAAACTATAAGACAATAAACTCTTGTTTGTTAAGACCATCCATTTGTGGTATATTCTTGTCAGAGCAGCACTAGGAAACCAGAACACCACCCCTCACCCAAATCAACATGTGACCCCCAACTAGTCTGAAATTTTCCCTCCTCTTCCCTTCCATTCCCAGTAACCAATAAAGTGAGTTGCCTTCCCCTAAGTAAACCTTTCTTGACTTTTTACAATAATGGCCTAATACAATATTTGTCCTTCTGCAATTGACTTATTTCACTCAGCATAATGTCCTCCTTATTCATCCACTTTGTGAGATGATTCTTGTATTGTTCATTATTCTATAATGTAGTATAGTATTCCACTGTGTGAATGTACCATGGTTTGGTTATCCTTTCCTTTGCTGATGGGCATTTAGCTTGTTTCTATTTCTTTGCTATAGTGAATTGTGCTCTGATGAACATGGGTGTGCATATGTCTGTTCATATCCTGTCTCTCACCTCTTTTGGATATATTCCTAGTAATGGAATTGCTGGATCAAATGGTATTTCTATTTTCAGTTTATTAAGGAAACACCACACCATTTTCCACAACAGTTGTATGTCCCAGCATCAGTGTATTAGAATTCCAATCTCTCTGCAAACTTGCCAACATTTATTTTCTGTCTTGTTGAGCTTTGCTATTATTGCTGGGGTGAAATGATATCTCATTGTTTTTCTCATTTGTTTATCTCTAATGTCTAATGATCATGAGCATTTCCTCATGTGTTTGTTGGCTGCCAGTATACCATCTTTAGTGAATTCTCTGTTCATGTCCCTTGCCCATTTTTGAATTGAGTTGTTCTTGTCTTTTGGTGTTGAGGTGTTGAAGTGTTCTATAAATTTTGGAGATAAGTCCTTTGTCAGATATGTCATAGGCAAATATTTCTTTTCCCAACCTGTAGGTTCTTTTTTTTACCCTTTTGGAGAAGTCTTTTGATGTGCATAAGAATTTAATTTTTTAGAAGGTTCTAGTAATCTAGCTTCTCTTCCACTGTCTGTGCATTTTGGGTTATGCTTGATTGTCTTTTTATGCTATAGATTAGGGTTCATAGATTTGCTCCTATTTTATCTTTGATGAGCTTTATAGTTTTGGGTTTTACATTTAAGTCTTTGATCCAACTTGACTTTGTTTTTGTGTATGGGATGAGGTATGGGTCTTGTTTCATTTTTCTGCAAGTGGATATCCAATTTTGTCAGCACCATTTGTTAAAGAGGCTATCTCTCCTCCATTTAATCAGTTTTGGTCCTTTGCCAAAGATAAGACATCCATAGATGGATAGGTCTATTTCTGGGTGTTTGATTCAGTTCCATTGGTCTATCTGTCTGTCATTGTACCAATACCACACTGTTTTAACTACTGTGGTTTTGAGATCTGGGAGTGTGAGACCTCCTACTTTTTTTTGTTGTTGTTGTTGTTCTTCAGCAGTGCTTTGTTTATCTGAGGTCTTTTTTGTTTCCATATGAAATTAATAACTGGTGTGTGTGTGTGTGTGTGTGTGTGTGTATGAGAGAGAGAGAAGTTTTTGGTTTTTTCCCCCCCTTAAAAAATGTTGATGGTATTCAGATCAGGATTGCATTGAATGGGTAGATTATATTGGCTAATACTGACATTTTCACAATATTCAGTCTTCTTATCCATGAACAAGGCAACTTCTTCCATTTATGTAGATCTCTTGCAGTTTCTTGTAGTAGTGTCTTTGTTGTTGTTGTTGTTGTGTAGGTTTTTTATTTCTCTGGTAAAATTTAATCCTAAATATTTTATCTTTTTGGTAGCTAATGTAAATGGAATTATTTTCCTTATTTCCTTTCAGAGACCTCTTTGTTGATGTAGAGGAATCTAACTGATTTTTGTATGTTGATCTTTTTTATTAGTTCCAGTACTTTTTTTTTCCCTGAATCTCTTGAGTTTTCTATGTACAGGATCATATCAACTGCAAATAGAGACAACTTTACTTAATCTTTGCCAATTTGGATTCCTTTATTTCTATTTCTTGCCTTATTGTCCTGGCTAGGACTTCCAACACAATGTTAAATAGGGGTGGTGATAGAGGGCATCCCTGTATGGTTCCCATTTGCAAAGGGAATGCTTTGAGTCTTTCTCCATTAACAATACTGTTGGCTGGAGAGTTCAAAATGGAGTCGAGCCAGTGAGCAGCATACTTTATCCCTCTGGCATCTAAGGTCTTGGTAAACTAGCCACAACAGTTTAAATTAGGAT